ATTGTAATTTTTGCGAAATATCATTTTTGCGAAAAGTCATTTTTGCGAAATGTCATTTTTACGAAAAGTTATTTATGCGAAAAGTCATTTTTGCGAAATGGCATTTTTACGAATTGTCATTGTTGCGAAAAGCCGTTTTTGCGAAATGTCATTTTTGCGAAAAGCCATTTTTACGAAAAGTCATTTTAGCGAAAAGTCAATTTTGCGAAATGTCATTTTTACGAATTGTCATTTTTGCGAAAAGTCATTTTTACGAAATGTCATTTTTGCGAAAAGTCAATTTTGCGAAATGTCATTTTTACGAATTGTCACTTTTGCGAAATGTCATTTTTGCGAAAAATACAATAGTAAACTAGTAGTATATATAGATTCACTATTGTATTTTTCGCAAAAATGACAATTCGTAAAAATGACATTTGGCAAAATTGACTTTTCGCAAAAATGACATTTCGTAAAAATGACTTTTCGCAAAAATGACAATTCGTAAAAATGACATTTCGCAAAAATGACATTTCGCAAAAATAGCTTTTCGTAAAAATGACATTTCGCAAAAATGACATTTCGCAAAAACGGCTTTTCGCAACAATGACAATTCGTAAAAATGCCATTTCGCAAAAATGACTTGTCGCAAAAATAACTTTTCGTAAAAATGACATTTCGCAAAAATTACTTTTCGCAAAAATGATATTTCGAAAAAATTACAATTCGTAAAAATGACATTTCGTAAAAATGTCGATTCGCAAAAGTGACAATTCGTAAAAATGGCGATTCGCAAAAGTGACATTTCGCAAAAATGACAATTCGTAAAAATGACATTTCGCAAAATTTGCTTTTCGCTGATATGACTTTTCGTAAAAATGACATTTCGCAAAAATGACATTTCGCAAAAACGGCTTTTCGCAAAAATGACATTTCGCAAGAATGGCTTTTCGCAAAAATGACAATTCGTAAAAATGACTTTTCGTAAAAATGACTTTTCGCAAAAATGACATTTCGCAAGAATGGCTTTTCGCAAAAATGACAATTCGTAAAAATGACTTTTCGTAAAAATGACTTTTCGCAAAAATGACATTTCGCAAAAATGACATTTCGGAAAAATGACTTTTCGCAAAAGTGCAGTTCGCAAAAATGACATTTCGCAAAAATGACATTTGGGGAATAATCATGCGCCCCATTATGCTTTTGTATTTCACTCAATAGAAAATAGTAAATTTTAGCTAACTTTGGCCCTTTGGCCATAGTTAGCTATAGAATTTTCTATTTTTAGCCAAATTAAACAAGCCATACTTTGGAACGTTGACCAACAATTAAAACACCATTGCTATTATTATGACCGTTTCTCATACTACAAATTAATAATATGTATCGCTGCTAAAATATCACAAACCATAAGGGCGATGGCTTCTATGGTTTAAGTCTTAAATTTTTATATTTTAACTATGGTTTAAATCTTAAATTTTTATATTTTAACTATGGTCAAAATCTAGTGAACCATTTCCAACGAAAAGAATATTTTAAAACCTTCCAAAAAATCCACATTTTGATAACGTCCGAAAATCTATTAAATCATAGATATAGTCTATATCTAAAAATTTATGTATTTTGACTATGGTCACAATTTAGAAAACCATCCATGGCGAACTACAAAAATATTTTAAAATCTGAAAATTTATATATTTTAAACATGGTTAAAATCTAGCAAACCATGGCTAACGACAAAAATATTTTAAAACCTGAAAATTTATGGGTCATTCTCTGCAAAACGGACCCCCCCCCCTCTGTCCAAAAAGGGTTTAAAAATAAAAGATCATTCTGTTTAAAATATTACAGCTTGGTATATGCAGTTACTTTCTTCATGGCTTTTTTTAATTAAAATTTTTTATTAGACAATATAGCGCTATTAATAAATGCCAACAAAAAAAATTGTTTCAGAACTTTTAAATTTGACCGCATTCGCTTAAAACTTGTTACTCGAGGGTTTTTGTGGTCGCTGATTACGAATCTGAAGTCAGATTTAAAAAAATCCAAAATGGCGGATCCAATATGGTGCGTAATTAGCTAATAGAAAAAACCCCAAGTAACAAGTTTTAAGTAAATGTGACTAAATTTAGAAATTTTTTCCGCCATATTGGATCCGCCATTTTGAATTTTTGTCATAGTTCAAAATTGAATATTTTTCATATTATATATAAGTATTTTTGTCTTTGAAGGGAAAAATATTTACTAATTTGAATTAGTAACTGACTTTTTTCTTTTGAATTAGTTTTTATTAATAAATTAGTAGAAATTAATTATAATAATAATTATAAATTAAATTAGTAATAAATTTTTAGTGAAATTTATTAATTCAAAAAAGTAAAATGTCCCAACGACGTCCATCTTAATTTCCAGATATGACTAGGACGCTCGCCTGTAGGATATCCTTGAATATCCATTCCTATTAGGGAACATTAAAATTGACCAAACTCTCATTTCTTATGAAAATTCTTTTATCGAATTGTTTTTCATAAACATATTACAATTTTAAGGTATTAATATTTTTTAAAATATTCCTTGTTCCTGATAAATTGTCTTTTATAATATTTACTATTTTTCCTAAATTACTATAATTTTTCTAAATTTAAATTTCGAAATGATAATTCTTCTTATCGCTTCCCATAATTATTATTTTAGCAGATTAACATATTTTTCATAATTTTTATTTTTCTAAATAATTAAGTACATAATTATCATTTTTTTGTTATATAATAACCTTTTTTACTAATATTTTTTATTCGAATTGACTTTTTGTATAAAAATGTTTTCTAGCTATCGTTTCTTTTATAAAGTATATAATTTTCTCGATTGACAATTCTATACCTAACTATGAAAATTACAAATAATGTTCTGTATATTTATTTCTTTAATAAATTTCTACTTTGAATAATTTTTTGCTTCACAAATTTTTTGTTTTCCTAATACTAATTTTAACGGATTTATAATTTCCAAACAACAACGGATAATAATTAATAATAAAGAGGAAGGTACACCAATATTTCTAATTATGTCAAGAAAATAATGTAAATATTTCACAAAATGATTTTTAAGGTAATTGTTTGTAAGGAATTCAATGATCAAAAAATAAAATCGTTCAGAAAATATTTTTACCATTTTTAAATTTTTATGTTACTTAAAAATTTGTAGATTTTGAAATTCATGCGTAAAAAACTGATTTTCATCATTTTTGAAGCATTTTGAAAACAAATTTTTGTTTTTAGGCTGAAAATACTTAAAAATATTATTATTCAATTTTTTTATTTGCAATATTCATTTGTTTATTTTTCTAACTAATTTCAGGTCATAATTTTATCATATTTTAAAAATATTGTTTTATTTTTCATGTATAAAAATTATAATCTGAAATTAGTTAGAAAAATTAACAAATGGATTTTCATATAGAAAAATTGAATAATAATAATGTTAGTTTTTAGCATTTTCAGACTAAAAGCAAAGATTTTTATTTAAAATAAATAAATAATGCTTCAAAAATTATGAAAATCAATTTGTGGTTTAAAAAACATATTCTACAAAATTACTCATGAATTTCAAAATCTACCAATTTTTAACTAAAATAAAAATTCAAAGTGGGTCAGTAATCAAAATATTTTCTGACCTACTTTATATTTTGATCATTGAATTCCTCACAGAAAATAACATAAAAAATAATTTTGTGGAATATTTACATTATTTTCTAAGTAGAAAATATCAATGTATCTTCCCCTTAAGAAAAGAAAATTTGAGAAATAAAAAACTATACAAAAGGACTTCTTGTTATTATTAAAAAAAAAATAAAAATTTAAATTCAGTATCAGTAACACTTTCAGTGAATTAATATATAGTTAGAAAAATATGAATTATTACTTAGATTAACTCTCAGAAAAATCAATATCCTTTTTAATATATAAATACGTATTTTATGATGGATATTTATTTTCCAAACAGTTTATATTTTCAGAAAATGTTTTTTTATTCTTTTCGCCCATTCCATTAGGTTTTGTTGTTGTAAATGCAAAATTTTTTTTTGTGCTAGATTATTAGCTTGGATAATCATTATTGTTATCATTTGTATTTCTTTCATGCTTTACGACAGGTGCTGTTAAATATTCCACTGTTTCATGTGGTCAAAGCATAAAAAGTGACTAGTTTTTTTTTTGCAATTCGTCTATCACAATGAGTTATAACGACAAACAAATTATTGCAATATAAAACATCAAATTGACACAATGGCTTTGGAAACGTAATATAGGAAATTTTTAATTAAGACTAATTTTTTATTTCAAATACGATTGTGCAAAAAATGTACTTAAAACTTAAAGTTTTAAACAAAAAAAAAATTATTCTTTAAAGTAAATTCACTGTTTTAGATATGCAATCAACTAACAGAATTTTATTTAAAAAAATTGATTCAGACCAAAAGTATGTTGCTCTAGATAATCATTTTTTTAATATAAGTGCATTTGAAGGTATGATGCATTTTAAAAAATTTTATCTTGGAAAACAGTATTTTAATTGACATAATATAGCGAGAAGCGAGGCGAAAAGTAAAGTAGGTGAATATTATAAAAATTATAAAACAATTAAATATTTATTTAAACTTTATTTATTTATAAATATTATAAAACAAAAATTATATCTTTATACTTAAACTTCTGTTTATTATATTGTTGATAATCTAAAAAAAAAATTTTTCGATTGGATGTTTTTCTTCTTTATTATTCTGTCAAGTATTACAACTTCAATGATTCTCTACGAATTTGGAAAGAAGATATTTAAAAAACAAATTAATAGGTATGTATTAAAAATAAAATTTTTAATTTTATTTTCTAGAATAATAAGAAAACAAAATTCATAAAGTTTTCTTCGTCCAACATGTGAAAGCTGTAATATGTTCGGAATAATCATTCGCAATAAAGTGAGAGAGAGAGGGGGGGGGGGAATATTTTCAATCCTAATTTTCTTACCGGCGTCACAGGATCACCGGCCTCACAACTAAAAAAACGTCTGGTTATCGCATCCTTTATAATTTGCCTCAAAGTTTTCTGATACTGAAAGAGTTAGTCACGCAAACTTTCACTTATCACCGTATTATAACAAGTTTCCCGTCGTTCAATTCAGACACGACTGTCAGTGTAAAAGAGGAGCAAGACCTCAGTGTACGGAATATGAACGAGCCAGCTGTCTGGCTCGATACCGTTCTTCTCCACTAAGCGCAGGTCTCATATTGGAGGAATAGTTTTGATAAATCTATCGCGACTGTTTTCTTGCTTTTAAAATTTTATTTCATTACTTACGGATGTTATCTAAAATTCTTTTTTATCGACAGTTGTACAATTATTGTTAGTTGGTATTTTTATTTACTGTCAGTACTATATTATTGGCAATCGGTTATATTATGTACAGTCGGTAATATTATTTTTAGTAAGTGATGCATTTCGAGCAAATATAGATGTCATCTCTTCACTCGTCTTCTTTCTTAAAAGATAGATAAAATCCATAAAATAATAAATAATAATGTTCCAAAAATTGGAATGGGGGGAATTTTATTTTAAAATAAAGGGAAAAATATAAGAAAATTTAAATGTGGATTTTTTTGGGTTAAAATTTGGATTTTTATTTAAATCTGGTTAAAAAATTCAGTCAATTAAAGTTTAGTTAGTTTAGAACATTTATTAATCATTTAAAAAGTTTTATGACAGTAATCTTAAATTTTGCGAAACATTTATTATATCCTAGATAAAATTAAAAAAATTTTAATTAAAATACAGAAAGAAACTTTTTATTCATCTTTTATGTTTCTTCGATTCTATAACTGACACTACAATCTTTGATTTTCTTTTTAAAATTTTAAAATTATTATATTTACAGTCAATCGACATATTCTGAAATTTATAAAAAATTTTAGTGGTTTTTTATTTGCTATTAATCAATTTAGAAATTAATTAATTGTCAAAATTTAAAATATAAATTTTCAAAATAGAATTAGAATTTCTTTATTTTGTCCTGGAAAATCCACGAGGACAAGCATTAAAAATACAGTAAAAGAAAACATTCAATTCATAAATCATGTGAAACAAAAAGAATACATAAAATTAATCTTAAAGAAAATAAAAAGAACAATTGTAAAATTTGTAAAGTTAACACAATAATGCAATAAAATAAAAGTACAATTTTAAGATATATGATGCGAACCATCTTAAAACCGAACCCGACAAACCAATAGTTTTAAGTTTAAGAAGCAAAAGACTATGAGGAACCATGTCGAGAGTCTTACTAAAATCAAAAAAGACAGTTATAGAATTACTTTTCTCTGATCAATTGCTTTACATATATCATCAGCAGCACAAACCAATAGTGTCTGAGTACTGAAACCTTTTCTATAACCAGACTGAAAAGGGCTAAGAACATCATTACACTCAATGAATTCATTCAGCTGATAGTAGACAATCTTTTCAAGAGCTTTGGACAAAGAACTCAGAATGGCGATCAGTCATTAGTCACCAGGCTGCTGTGGATCCTTTACTTTCGCTATCGGCCTAATAAGAACTCTCTTCCACATCGCTGGAAAGATAGATGTCTGCAAAGACATATTAAAAAGATCAAGCACATAGGGAAACAATGCTGGTATAAACTTCATAATTTCACTCTTGGACAAACCATCAAAACCCTGTGCATCACTTTTAATACTGTTTAAAGCCTTTAGTAACATAGAAGTTTTATCCTCAAAATAAAATAAGTCTTCATCAAAGTCACAGTCAATGAATAGATCAGAAATAAAGGAAGGTGTTATATTAAAAGATGAATTTTCACTAATAGATAAAAAGTAATTATTAAGTATGTTAACATTGAAAGTAAGTGGAATATCATCCTTTTTATCCTTAACGAGACCAATGCGTCTAAGCTCCTTCCAAAGTTTACCCGAATCATTGATACTATTCAGTCTACCAGCATTGTACTCATCACGAGCTTTTCTAACAGAAAACTTAACCCTATTTCTGAGTGTTTTAAATTTACTTCTACATATTTCACTTCCAAATCTCTTCCAAGCTGTAAAAGCATTTTCTCTTCGCTTTAACATATCACGAATATTACCATTCATCCAAGGGCACACTTTTTTCCGGATTACATGAGTTCTTATCCTCCAAGGATAAGAATGAATCCTGAATCCTCCAAGGCCGCAAAAATAACATTATGTACAAAAAATTGTTTAAAATCAACAGATTGAGATTGATAAAAAGTAGACCAGTCAATTTGATTTAAAGAAGACAAAAGAGCTTCATCATCAATTCCAGAAATATTCCTATATGTTTGAATAGAGTATTTGACATTATCAGATTTCCATTTATAAGATATTGAAATAAGTTCATGACCCGCTACAAAAGGAACATAAGATTGAGATGCTGACACTAGTAGCATTATATCGTGTATTAGGGTCAAATGTTCTCAAAAATATCAATGTTGGCATTGGGTCCGCCTGAGACGTTTCAGTCGATTTTAATCATACTTATGCGACTAATCATTGTTATACCAACAATTATTTCAATTTAATAAAACAAAAAAAAATTCAAAATTTGTCCCTAGAAAAGTGTCCGCCATTTCCATACCCGTACACTATCAAACATTCAAAATTTGTAAAAAATGTCTTTAATAATTTCTGTAAACTGGAAATCACCAGAATTGTAGTAGGGACTTACACAACCTGAAAGGATAGGGAATTTTATCTCAACTTTTAAGTAGTAGCACCCCCACCCGTACTCTATCAGACAATCAAAATATTGTAAAATGTCATACAAACTTTATTTCTTGTAAATTTAATAACTTTTGTAGACTAGAAATCACCAGAATTGTAGTAGGGATTTCGCCTTACGCAACCAAAATTGTTACGGAAATAATTATGAAGGTTGATTGACATAATGACACTTGGAATATTGCCATGTTAAAAATTGTTGTTTTCAAATCAATTCGTAACCTATGGAGTATTTTAATCATCAATTGTTTGGTGATTTAGAGTTTATATTTATAGTACTCTATTTCCTTTCAAGTCTCTTATTTCTTGGGCAGATATAAATTACACGAAAGACGTTTTTCGCTTAGCAAGAATACACTTTAAATGTAGATAAAAGAGGATTGAGTAAATCTGAAGAGAGAAAGTAAAATTTCCAGAAGGTTGAAGAAGAGAAAAAATACATAGTGTTAGAGTTAAAAGCACAAAATTTGCATATCGCGCAAACAGAATAATCGATGCAACTTACAGGTCTTTCTCTCTAGGACAGATAAAGTGCAAAGCAATATTAGATAGAAGCATAAAAGGATAAAGAGAAGAAGTGGTATCTTAATAAGCCAAGAAGCTGTATATAAGGTTATCAGATTTTTCAGATAAACTTTAGAATTCAAAATTTTTTTAATATTTCCATTGTACTTTCTGCCGGTCTAAACATTCTTATATCTATTTTTATTTAAAATTTCTGTTTTGTATTAATTCATTTTTCATATTTTTTATTATAGTTCCACGACCTAATGATGACGCAGAAAAGTTGTTTTCTTTGAAGATTAAAAATTCGAGATGCATTCTTGTTGAAAAAAACTATGATACAGTTTTGTGAACCTTAATCAGTCGGAAAAATTCTCTTTTTACTGCGCTCATGTCTTTTACTCTCGAGCTTTTTCAGCGGGTATCACATTTCTCGATCCGTCTTCGCTCTAATTTTCAACCTTTAATGAGTCGTTTTTCCACTGTTACGGCTGTAAATAATCTCAGATAGGCGAAAGTCAGTGATAGCTTAAGGCATGAAGAAAATGAAGGAGTCGTTAGGAAGTGGAAAACGAGGATAAGAGTCGAAAAAACAACGAATCCACAAAAAGAGGACACATGTCAAGAAAAAATATTCTATCGTCCGTAACAGATTGGCAATGAAACTGTCGGCTCAGCATTTCTCGCGATTGAATTAAAAGAATCGGTCTGCGTCTATGCCCCCGAGAGTAATGAAATCAGCATTTTTTCTGAGCAATATTTCACATCATTACACCCCGTTTCCTCGCAATTAAGATTATAAATTTACTACTGTTCGCAGATCCCTTTTATAAATTGCAATTTCTTTTCTCTTTTTCAAATACTTTCATAAAAAAAAAACTAAAAAAAATTGTTAAATTTGTGTCTTACTTTGAGAGCTTAAGGTAAACAAATAATTTTTAGTAGATAAGGATGATGATTTAATCTGTGAAATTTTTAATATCTTTCCATTTTAGTTTTACATTTCTTAGAACTAATTGTTTTGGTATGTTGTAAATTCATGGCTTGATTAATTTACAAAATTTTTGATTAGTTAATTAATTTCATGTCCGCTACATAACGGCTTATGAACGTCCAATATTCAAAAAACGTTTTTAGAACATAAAACGTTTTTAAGACGTTATGTGGGGGACATGAAACGTTCTTAAAACGTTTTAGGAACGTTTCTAGAACAAAGACGTTTCCGTGCCCAGAAGGTTGCGTCAGATCCAACGCGCGTCTATGTTCGCGTCAGATTTGCGTTTATCAGCGTTTATCCATTCTGGAAACGGCCTAACTTCATTTGTATCGGCAATTAGCTTTATAATTTTGCAAATCACATCTTTGCTTTATATCAATATTTAAATTATCTCCTTCCCATTTCTGAATTGTGAGTTTAAATTATATTCAGAAATCAGTTTGGATTCTGAAATTAAGTTGATTGTACTCTACCTCATATTCGCGATACATCAAAAAGTGCAGCAGCTAATTTATTGCCGATTAAATCAAAATAAGCATACACATCTACTTACAGATTGTAAGCGGAGTAAAAAAGATGAACTATGTAAATGTTCAATCAGAGTCTACTTTGCTGACATATTTTAATGAGTTGAAAAAAGTATAAGTCCACAACTTTCTGTTCGATCTATTCAAAGTTAAAAAGTATAATCAGTATTGACGAAAAAATCGACACATCGAAATTCAACTCTATATCCGCTTTTATGAAGAAGTATTCAAGATGATTTTAGAGCAAACAAGGTAATGTTTTAACTTCAAAGCAAACCAGATTCTTTCTGTCAAAAGCTGCAAATGAAAAATATTTCTTAACCAAAGATAATATTGATTGTGTCATTTTAAAAATTTTCGGTCCCTTACTATTTTTCTATAGTCCAATCTTAATATTTTAATGTCTCCTTCAATACATACTATTTTGTCT